TCAGTGCCACCGTCACCTCCGAGCTTGACTGAGACGACTGAGAGCGATTAGTTTGTTGACACTTGACACTTGTTGCCTGGCGCACGCCGGCGATAATGGTGATTTTTCCTTGCAAAAGTGTTCGAGCTAGGGTGTGCTGCACTTTGGGGGAGGTCTGTAGTACTGTTTCCTTTATAAGTTATCCACAAGCCCATGCTCCTTTCGCAATGTTGCCTTGTTTTTATTCTACACAACCCCTCTAGCAACATCTAGCAACTCGAAGGGCTTTGTGATGTTTGGTGAATAGCACATGTATGCAGAGTTTCCGTGTGCAAAGGTGAGCTGGAGAACATCCCTGTGATCAGCGCTCGAGCCATTTTTGAGCCAATGGGTATCCCCGAGCCCTACCGCTGGAAGGTGGGTGAAATCTCTGTCGGACGGGGTTCCATCCGGAAAGTCACTTGCGAGGTTTCGCACAGTTTGCCGCTTTGTTTTGCTTTGTCTAGGGACCTGAGGTGGATGATCATGGATGTGAAAGGAGATGCGAGACATGAAGAGATTGGAAGGTGCTTTCAAGAAGACTCTGGTAGGTGCTTTGCTTCCGGCACCTTGTGGACTGCTTTTCGTTGTGACCTCAGCTTTTACTGCATTTTTCTGCATGTTGTGTGACATTGTATGACCAGATGAGTAGTGGGACCAGGTTCAATTGTAAATCTTGCATGCCACAAGATCTCAGCAGCTCCATTTTCCCAAGCGTTCCCAAAACCTCAGGCAGGCAGCTGGCCGGCAACATGTTCATGTTCCACTTCACCGCGACTCCGAGGTTTGACCCGACTGGCACGACTGGTCCCAGCAGCTTGATCTCCATCGGGGATGGTTGGCAAGAGCCAGAACCTGAAGCTGCCGGACATGTCAATGTAGAGATTGAAAAGGATGGAAATAGTATGAAATAGTTGGATCTTCACATAGAATAAGAAATAATGTCGCAGAGATTGCGAGAGGGAGAGGTGATTCTGGGGCAATTGTTGAGCCTTCAAGACGAGATTGTGCACCAAAGCCTCCGGTGTACGTTTTCTATTTTGGTGCTGTCACACCAACGCCACAAATTCAGGCGGGTGGCGGCCATCATGGCAGCTCAGGCCTTGGGGATTTGCTTAACTGATTGTGCTGGAGAGAGGGTGCAGAACCGTCGAATGATTTGCCCTCGTTTTGCAACGTCGAAGCGCCCGAAGGACACGGAGCTGGCCATGGTGAAATGCATGAAGTTTCTGGAGCAGCCAGGGGTCGGAGCCACAGTCACATTTGGAAGGCGCCCGAAGGAAAACATGGCATTTGAGCCACGAGCTTGGTAGATCAGGCTGGGCTTGCCGGGGACTTTTGTTTATATAGATACATACAGCTGGCACTATGTGCCAGCTGTATGCTGGTCATGGCTTGTTAGTTATGGCATGATGCTTGTTATGGCGTCACTCGCAAGCCAGCCTGAGGCAGATCAGCTGGCGCAAGAGCTTGACCTTTGCACACAAGTCTTCGAAGGCCTCGAGCTGAGAAGTTTCACTTGCTAACGGCGAAGGTCAGGTGCTGGTGCTACTTTTGTTTGGAACAAGTAGAGTGACTCACATCAGGAATTGAATGGAACGCGCTTAAGAAGTCAGAAGCCATCTTTGAGTTTATAGACATCGCCATGAAATGCCATGGGATGTGTATATATAATATATATATATATAGTTGGAATATGTTTTGATGCTATAATGATTTTGTTTACATGCAACAGGGTCAAACGATCACCTCAACTTTATTGAAGTTGTATAACCACCAACACCAAGGCTTAGCCGCCCATCCCAGCTGGGTGGATTGCTGAGACGGCAGCTTTCTGTATGGAGGGCTTGGTACGGGATGACGTAGCTGGTGCTTCCAGGGCAAGAGTCACGATGCTGTCCAGCATCATTTGACCCTTCCGGTAGAGCACATTCCAGATTGCCCCAGTGAGGTGGAGGCCAGCTACAGCTACACAGAAGCTTGGGGACTGCAGCTCAGTGACTCCGACTCTGCACAGCCGAACCGACTCGGCTCCGTGCATCCGGTGAGTCGAGGTCTTCAGCTGGAAGCCCGTGCTGCGGACACCAGCGCCTTGGGCGGATCCTTGGCCACTGCCGGGGACCAGGTGATACGTGTGATGGGGGTGGGAACTGAGACTGCGATAGGTTGGCTGGCCTGGGGCAAGCTATGCCATGTGATATTGACACATGATTGCAGTTGCATTTGCAGGCTCAAGCAGTTGTTTCAGGAATGGACATTCATGAGCACTTCCAGGTAAGAGTAGGATTTGCAGCGGTCAAGAATTGTCACATTGTACATGCGCCATAGTATTTGAACAGGATTCCCCACACAAAAATTAGTCCTCATTCCGATCCTTGCCTTGTTTTGCCATGAATCTGTGCAAGAGAGGCTGGGAACGAGCCATGCTGCCTACGGTTTTTATACAAGAGGGGGGCAGCAGTAGTTGCAGGTGCATTTTGAAGGCCCCTGCACGAAAAAGGAGTGATAGGGGTGATCGATTCTCGATCATGCTCTTGTCTGGTACTTTGGCAGCCAGATGCGTTAGCCGTGTAAGTGTTTGTGCAGGGTATGGTGGCGCTCATGCCACGCGTGGAAGAGCCGACCGTGCTCAGTTTCGAGGACGAAGACGAGAGTCACCATATCGATCTGACCGTCCTGACGAGCAGGAGC